GAGGGGGTGAGCAGAGACCCCCCCTCACCCCCTGGCTCCCTTCCCTTGGGCACCAGCACCCGGGGTGGCCCAAAGCTGGCCTGGGTCCCCTGGGGTCCCCCTGCCCCGGAGCGCAGCCGGGCTGGCACCGCGCAGGAGGGGGTCCCCGCTGGGGAAGACGGTGGGGCCGGACCCGCGGGGAGCCGAGCGGTCGGCCTGGCTGTAAATTAGGAGCATTTTCGGCTCCGTTTGGCTCCCCCGGTCGGAGCTGGAAATTAGTCACCACTTTACTATGCAAAAGGGGCCTGGAAGCGAGGAAGAGCAGAAGAAACCGGAGCGGGAAGGAGGGAGGGAAAGAGAGAGGAGAGGAGAGGAGAGGAGAGGCTCAGCCGCCGCCAGCGGGCAGCCGGGGAGGGCACGGCGGGGACTGGGGGGCTCCGTTGGCAGCGCCCTGCCAGTGCCCGCCAGCTGGGGCATGGGGCTGCACGGCGCCTCTGCCCCGCTGTGCCCACGTCCCCCAGCTCTGGAGCCGGTCCCGGTGCCGTTTGTTTGCGCTCCAGCCCTGGAGGCAAAGGGGTGAGGCCGTGCCGGCGCCACGCCGAAATGCCGGCTGCCCGCAAGCACCGCCGGACCCCCGGCACGTCGCCCCCCTCCCCAAATCTCTCCCCACCACCACCACAACAAGGCGAGGCCGTGACAGCACAGGGAGTGTCCAGAGGGGGGGAAACTGAGGCACGAGCACACCTGCACCCCGTGTTTCGGGGACTCACCGCTCGTAGCTGATGGAGAAGAGCAGGTAGGAGCGCAGGAGGGTGAAGCGAGCCTTGGCCACCGCGCTGGACGTGGGGTGCCACGGCTCGGGGCCGCTCGTCAGCAGGGCCACGAACTCTGGGGGGGGGGAAAGGTGCTCGTGGAGGGAGCGTGGGGACGTCCCGTGTCCCCGCTGCCTGTCCCAGGGCTCACCTGTGCGGGCGTCGTCGCGGGCCAGGCCCTCGGAGCTGAGGTAGGAGCGGTCGTTGTAGGGCTTGTCCAGCTCGTCCTCCTTGTCCTGGAAGTACTCGAAGGTGTCGAAGGGGGGCTCGGCGCTCTTCTCCGGGGGGCCTGGCAAGGCTGGCATAGCAAGGCACAGCGGGGAGGTGATTGCAGCAGGCTGCTTGCGGTAAAACTGAATCCCCCCCCTCCCAAAATAAAGCCAAAACCAGGGCTGTGCGCTGGGGGCACGCTGGGTTCAGCCCCGTGCGCCCCTGCCCAGCACCTCGTGGGCATCCCGAGGGCACAGACAACCCCAAAAACAAGCATCCCCTTCCTGAGGGGGGTGAGGGGGTGCACAGCGTCCCCTCTCCCGGGTGCCCAGCGCCCTGTGGGGGCTGCGCTCACCTTTGGGGCAGGTGTGGCAGCAGTGCCCGGGCAGCAGCGTGGCGCGGGGGCAGGCGGGCACGGGGCAGTCCTGCTTCATGTTCTTGCAGTTCACTTTTCCTGCTGCCTTCCCTCGGTGGTTCCTCTGCTGGGGGGAGGGGGGGCAGAGCCGTGCCAAGCCGTGCCAGGGATGTGGGCGACCCAACCACCGAAATTCCCCTCGGGTGGCACATTCAGGGCACCAGCGCTCCCCCGGCACAGCCCGGCTCCCCCAGCCCATCTGGAGCCCCCCCCCGGACACCTTGCGCAGCCCCCAGCTGCCTGTACCGCAGCCAAGCCCCCCCTGCTCCCCCCCCCCCCCCAGCCCCCAGCCCCCTGCCCAGCTGTGCGCGGCCCCTCCAGCCTCGGGGGGCTGCTGGAGGGGGGGCCGGGGGCCGTCCTGAGGAGGGGAAGGAGAACGAAGCCTGATCCTTTAAGCCCCCCCCCTCCCCTTCTCCTCCCCGCTGCCCCCGGGGGGGGGGGGGGGACACCCAGGTGTCAGGCCGGCTGGAGGAATCCCTGCTCGCTTTCCATGGGGTGGGCGGAGAGGAGGGGGGGGGGAGCTACGGGGCTGAAGGGGGCGATCCCCCCCCAGCTCCCAGCCCCCTCCCCAGCAGGGCCCCGTGCCGGGGGGGTCTCCGCCGTGTGCGGCGCGGCGCGGGGGGGCTCTCACCGGCTCGCAGTGGCAGATCACGCAGCGCATCACCCCGAAGGGCTCCCCCAGGTCCGGGTGCCACGTCTCGTCCAGCGCGTAGAAATGCCCCCCGAAGGCGCAGCCTGCGGAGACAACACCCCCCAAAAAAAATTGACAACCCCCCCCACCACCCAAAAAAAAACCAAAAAACCAAAAAACAAGTCACCTCCGGGCCGCGGGCACCCCCCTGCCGCAGCCCCGCGGGGCGGACAGCGGCCGGCACCGCCCCACCGTGCCCGCTCCCCGCGCCCCCCAGCACGGGGGTCCCGGCGGAGACCCGGCACCGGGTGTTGGGGGGTGGGGGGGGGACAGAGAGCGGCCCCTTGGGGTGCAGGAAAAAGGGGGTGCACGAAGGGGGGAGCACGGAGGGGGTGCGAGGAGAGGGGTGGCTCGGAGAGGGGTGGCTTGGAGAGGGGGTGCCTGCGCCGGGGGCGCACGGGAAAGGGGGTGTGGAGGAAAAGGGGCGCACGGAGGGGGTCCTACCTGCCGCCCCCCCGGGGGGCAGCGGCTCGGTGTCGGGCCGGATGGGCAGGGCGAGCTTGGGGCGGGCGGCGCGGGCGGGCAGGGCGAGCAGGGCGAGCAGCAGCAGCAGCGGGGCGGCGCGCATGGTGCCGGCCGGCCGGGGGAACCGGGGGGCCGGGGGCGGGGAGGGGGGGCCGGCCGCTGCCTGCCGCTGCCGCCGCCACCGCCTCTGCCCGGCTGCCGGCCCCGGCCCCGCTTTATAGGCGGCGGCATGGGCAAGCGGGAGCTGCGAGCCCTGTGCAAACAAAGGGCCGCTAATGAGGCGCAGGCAGCGGCCGGCCGGGGGGGACGCGCCCCCGCTGCGCTTTGCGCACCCCCCCCCCTCCTCTACCCCAGCCCAGCCGCCTCCTCTCCCCCTCTTCGCACATCCCCGGCCCCGGGTCGTTCTGGGGCACGCCGGGGGCTGTAGGTGGTCCCGGGGGGATTGGGGTGACGCCTGGTGTGGGTGTTTTGGGGAGACCCCCCCCTCTGTTTGCCACCCACCCCCCGAGGCACGGGGTACCCCTGGGCATGGGGCAGCCCTGGGAACCCCCCCCATCCATTGACCCCTTCCCCGGGTATGGGGTACCTGGGGGATGCCATCACCCCCATGGCATGCTGGGGACCCCCCCGATCCACCCAACACCCCCCAGGACAGTGTAGGACAACCCCTTCCCCCGGGATTTTGGGGTATCCCTAGGCACTGGGCATGCTGGGTGCGCCCCTATCCATATGCCCCCCTCCCCCGGGACGTGTGGCCCCTGGGAACCCACCCACAGCCCCCTTGGCATTTGCAGGGCACCCCCATTACAATGCTCCCCCCCCCAATATTCTCCCCTGGCATGGGGCATCTGTGGGCAAGGGACATCCCGGGGCCCCCCAAATCCACTCCGTCCCCTCCCAGGCTGCTTGGGACCCCCGGGGACATGGGGGCACTGCAGGGCACCATCCATCTGCACACACCCCCTGAAGCCCACCCCCAGGGCACACAGACCCCCACCCACTCCATGTTGTCCCCTAAACCCCCCCTGCACCCGCAGAGCCCCAGCAACACGCACCCCACAACTTGTGCCCTCGGCATCCCCAAATCCCTCCGGCTGCTGCTGGGCACAGGAAGGTCCCGGAGCGGGACCCCAGCACCCTGCCCATCGGTGGCAGAGGCTGGGGGGGGAGAGGAGCCCGGATCTTTGGGGTCCTTGGCCCAGGGAGGGCAGTGGGGACGTGGGGTGGAGGCTGCTCTTCGCCCCCATGTGCCCGGGCTGGCGAGGGCGGCGGCGGGCAGGTAGCAGACACCATGGAAAGGCCTGGGGAGACAGCGTCCAGCTGGGGAAACCGAGGCACGGGGAGCGTCTGGGGGGGCGTGGGGGGCAGGGGATGGGGGTGCCGAGTGCCACCCGTGTCCCCCTGCCGAGGGAGGGGAGCCGGGTGCCGGGTGCGTGGCGGGCAGGGGAGGGGGAGGCGGGCGTGGAGGGGAGGAGGGGGAAGTGCGGGGCTGCCAAAATCAACTCTCGGCGGTACAAACACCCGGCCAGCTGCACGGTGTAGCCAGGGAAACACGGCACAGCTGGAGCACAACAGGCCCCTACCTCCCCACAAGGCTCCTCCTGGGCCTCCCCCCAAACCCGGTGAGCGGCTGGGGGGGGGCTGCAGCCCCCAGCCCCCTGCCCCTGCTGTCAGGGTGCCCCATCCGCAGCTCGCCCACGGCCTCCCCGTCCCCTTTCCCACCCCAGCTCGTTGCTCCCCTGTCTCCCGCTGTGCCGGGCACCTCTCCGGGGGGGGGACGTGGGGGCACGGCCATGCCCAGGAGCTGCCCCGTGGCAGGAGCTGGCCCTGGCACGAGGCCGCGAGGAGCAGCCTGGGTTTCCCCGCTGGGACATCCCGCTGGCACCCCAGGGGCTGGGACACCGCCAGGGTTCCCGTGCATCCCGCGGGCACGCCGTGCCCACAACGCCCTGCCACGCTCGCCAGGCCCTTCTGCGAGCGGGGACCGTGCCTGGCAGCCTGGCACCCCCGTCCCCGTGCCCTCCCCGCTAGTCCCCAGCGGTGCCACCGACCTGTCCCCGCTCCTCTCTCCCGGCGTCCCCGCTGGCCCGGGATCCGGCGGCAGGGGAGGGCTGGGGGCTGCGTGGCCGTGCCAGCGTCACCGCCCGGTGCCCGCAGGTGGCGGCCCAGGGGGACGGCGGGGAGCGAGCGGGGCCGAGCGGGGAGGAGGCGGGCGATGGCTCCCGGCCTCCCCGCCGGTGCCAGGAATCCGGCGCTGGCTCCGCGCACCCAGAGCTCGTCACAATCTCCTGGCTCGGCCGCGGGGATGTGGGGAAGCGGCGGGGGAAGCTCCCTCCCCTTTCCCGGGAAGGAAGGAAAGCCGGGGAAGCTGCGGCCTTGGCATGGGGGAAACTGAGGCAGCTCCTCCCGTTGTGCCCGGGCATCGCTCATCCCCAGCCCTGCGTGTCCTTAGGAATGCCAGGGGTGCCCCAGCCCGAGGGATGGTGGCTGCCCTGGGGGTGTCTGAGCTTGTGGGATGGGGGCAGCTCTGGAAAATGGTCCCGGTGCCCCCAGCTGGCTCCCAGTGCCCCACATGTGCTGGGAGCGCTGCACAAAGGCGGCTCTGAGGCGCTCCGGAGCCGGGCCTGACGCCGGCACAGCCCCAACGGGGCCACCGGCTGCGGGCAGCTGGAGCTGCATGGGGACGGGGCCGGCCGGCAGCAGGCAGCCCCGTGCCCCCCGACCCACCCCGTGCCCCCCGTGCCCCCTGTGCCACCCCAGCCCCTCCGCCTGCAGCAGGTGCCCGGCCCCGTGACCTCACGGCATTGGGGTGCCCCTTTGGCACGGCGGAGATGGGGCACCCCAACAGCACCGCCACCGCTCCCCTGCCCCCCAAAATGCTGGGTGGGCTCCGTGGGCTCGGTGGGCTCGGTGGGCTACGTGCCCTGCCCAGGGTGAGGGTGGCGTGGAGCTGGGTGCTGCCCCGTCCCGTCCTGTCCCCGCTGCCCCCACGGTGGCGGGGCCAGTCTCGCGCCTGGCTTCGGGGCGGCGGCGGCCCGTGCCAGCGCTGCTGCCCCACGCAGCTCCCTATTGTCTGGCCTCATTAGCCGCTGTCTGCTCCGGGCTTTGAACATGAGCCGGGCTCGGGGCGGCAGGAAGGAGCCTCTTCTCCCCAGGGATGGGGTCGAGGCAAAACCGCACGCCCCAGCCCCTTCCCACGGCCTCCCTCTGCCTCCCGGGCACCCTGGCACCGCCAGCCTCGTCCCCGTGCCATAAACTTGGGGCCCAGACCCGAGAGGAGCCGGAGAGGCTCAGAGGCCCCCCAGTTCCCCCAAAAAAAGCCCCCCTGCCCTGCGTGGGGCACCGAGGTGCCGTGGCCTCCCCGAAGCCCTGCGCCGAACGCGGCTTGCCCCGTGACTAATCCCCCCCGGCCCTGCACACACGCGGCGGGGCGGGGGGGGGGGTGGGGGGGGCTGTCGTAATGGGTGGAAATATCTCATAATTCACGTTGGACACGGGGATTACAGCCGTTCCGGCAATATTTGCACAACTGGCAGGCGGCTCGCAGGGCCGGGCCGCCCCAGACGAAGGCAAGGGGTGGTGGTGGTGGTGATGGGATGGGGAGGGGGGACCGGGGGGCTGGGGGTGGAAGGGGTTTTGGGGGCGGCAGGTAACGGGGGGGATGCAGCCGGGGGACATGATGCCGGGGTGGGGAGCGGCTGCTTTTCGTCTCCAGACACATGGAGTTTATTATGGACTGCGTGTTCCCGGCACGGCGGGGACGGCTGGGGCTCTCTGCCCCTTCTCGCCTCCCTCCCGGCTGCGGCAGCCGGCACGGCTCGGGGGCCAGGATGCGGGCAGCATGCCCAGGACACCCCAAAACACCCCAAAACACCCCAAAATACCCACCCACGTGGGGCCGTGCCGTGCCCATGGCACCATGCCCGCAGCCAGCACCCCGCAGCTCCCTGCCCGCAGGGGCACCCAAAGGTGCCGGCGTCCCCTGTGCGCCCACCCCACAAATTCCCCCTGCCCCAAAGCGACCCCTGCGGGGGGCGTGTGGGGCACGGAGTGTGGGGGGGGGCTGTTTGGCATGGGGATTAGCACGCTCCCAGAGCGATGGTGGTCTCCCCCCCCCCCCCACCCGCCCACCGGACATGCAGGCAAATATTTGTGCCCAGACTTCGCAGGACGGCGAGAAGGAATTTCATTCTTGTGCCCACCTGCGGCTCGGCCGCCTGGCATTAACCCCTTCGCCGCCCCGCGGGATGGATGCAGGGGGGGGCGAGGTGCCCTCCTGGTGCCCCCCACCCCAGCCCAGCCAGCACGGGGGGCAGCGGGGCAAGGAGCGGGATGGGGCACGGGGGCAGCGGTGGCCACCAACGGGGCGAGCGTGGCCGTGTTGGTGATGGCTCAGGGCATGCCCACGGCAGTGCTGATGCTCGTGGGGGGCACTGCCCCGGTTTGTCCCGGCCCCCCCTTGCTGGGCACCCCCTGTGCGGTGCCAGGCAGGGCCCGTGGGCACGGGGAAATGGGGGGAATCTGTGCCAGCACCCCTCCCGTGCTCTGTTATCCCATCCCGGGGCCCTTTGCAGCACCGCCAGCGCCCACGAGCGTGGGAGCGGAGCGGAGGGCACGGGGCTGTTTGCCCACGGATGTTTATTGGCAATTTGCAAATGTAAAACGGGGCCTGAGGGGGCCGAGCTGCCTGGGCTGGGGGGGCACGGGGCCTGCCCGCATGCAGAGTGCTGCCTGCCTCGTCCCCCCGTGCCCCCAGCCCTGTCCCCGCTGCGTCCCCGGCCCTTTCCCCCCAGTCCCCGGGGCCAGCTGGGCCCTGAGCAAACGGGGGCTGTTTGCTCAGGCCGGGATTAGCCGCTCTCTTTGTTCCTTTGACTTTCTCCTCCCTTAATGCTGGGCTCTTTTATGGGGGCTTCAAAGGGGGCTCGGACCCCCCTCCCTGCCCAGGAAGCCCAGGTTTGCTTCCCACGTGCCCGGCATCCTGCGGGTGCCCAGCGGGCACACCTGGGTGGCCTGGTGGTGGTGGGGGGGGGGGGCAGCAGCTGTGCCACCCACCTGGGACCCCCACCCCGGCCACCTGGCACCTCCGGCCGCCCCTGGCACCTTGGTGGAGTGGGTGCGAACGGTTGCCCCCTGCAGCGGGATTGCCGGCACTTTGCACCCCGTAAGGAGAGGTGGGAAACTCAGCGCTGGGATCCGGCCAGCTGCACGGCCCCGAGCCCCCCCGCCGGCACCAGGGGGTCCCCCCCCGTGCCCCCCAGGCAGGGGCAGCAAGCAGCAGCAGTGCCCCTTCCAGCAGCAAGGAACTGGCTGAAAAGAAGCATTTTGGGGGCGAAGGGACAGTTTTAGGCACCTCGGGGTGCTCCGGTGTCCGCACCCCAAACCAGGAGGTTTGCACCCAGAAGCAGCCACCCATCTCCCATTATCCCATCTCCCCGATGGGTTCATTTAACTAATTGTGAAGGCAAGCACTGACCCCGGGGCACTGCAGCTCCCCAGCACACCATCACCAATGGCTTTGCACCCGGAGAGGGACGGGGACTGGGGTGCAACGGGGAACAGGGTGCAGCAGGGACTGGGGTACATCAGGGACAGGTACAGGACCAGCAGCAGGACCGTGGCCAGCACTGGCCCAGGGGCCGAGCGTGCCAGCAGGGCGCGTTTGCAGCCCGTCACGTCCGCAGAGACGGGGCATGGCCGTGCGGGGGAAGCCCAGCGGTGCTTGACCCCGCTGCTCGCCGCTCCGCTCTCCGGCCGCCGTGCCTGAGCCGTGCAGCCAGCGCCGTCCCTGGAGCCGTGGGGCTGCCGGAGCCCATCGGGACCCCCCCGCTCTGCCCAAAAGGTGGGCTGCCAGGTGGGGAGGCCGAGAGGGGCAGGGGGCAGGCGGCGGGGCCGGGGTGTTTACTCTGGCTGCTGTCACCCGGCCAGGAGCTGCCGGGAACCGCGGGGACAGGGCTGGGAACGCGTGGAGCGGGGCTGGGAGCAGGCTGCCCCGAACCAGATGCAGGGGGAAGGAGGGTGTGGGGAGGGTCCCGAACGGTGGGGGTGGGCATGGGGGGCTGCGTGAGCACGGTGTGCATGGGGGAAAACCCGAGTGTGCAACCTGATGTGTGCCGCGGGAGGTGCGCATGCACGGGGCTGTGGTGGGCGCGCACGTGGTTACGTGGGTGCCTGTGGGGATTTCACCCAGTTCTTCCCCAAAAAATCACCCATGAGGGCCAAGTCTCAGGTCCCCGTGCTCCAGCTCGTGCATTGGTCCCCGTGTGCCTGCAGCCCCACCGGGGATCTCCACCTCCCTCAGCCCCTCAGGGGGATGGAGCCCACCGCCAGGGATGAGGCCCGCAGCCAGCGAGGGGTTTTTGGGTGCCTGGCTGCTTCAGCAGGGAACGGCACCCACCTGGGCCGACGTCCCCTTGGGCCACCACGCAAAGAGAGCCACCGCCACCATCTCTCCTGCAGGTACCAGGGCCACCTTCGTCCCCAGGACGGGCCGAGCTGAGGCTCCCAACCCCGCCATCCCAGGCACGGTGTGCTCAGGCCCAGGGCAGGGGGCAGGTGACGGAGCCCCGAGGGCGCCCGGGGACGCCCTTCCCGGTCCCAGAGCCAAGAGAGGAAACGGCCGGAGGCAGGAAGCCGTCCACGGGGCCCCCGGAGCGCTTTTACTCGAAGGTCAGCAGCGACACAACAGGAAATCACTCTGCCTCGGCACGGCGGCCGGGCCGGAGAGCCGTGCCGTGCCGTGCCGCACGAGGGGTGCTCCCAGGCGCCCGGCCCCTCCGTCCCGGCCGCTCGCGGGGAGCCCGCACCACAGCTGCCCTCCATGGAAGGGGGACGGGAGCTGGGGAGCAGCCGCTGGCCCCAGGGTGGAAGATGCAGGGCCGAAGCCCCCAGGCGAGCATGGAGCTGAACAGTGAGTGCGGGGCGAGCGGGGGTGAGCGGGAAGGGGCAGCGCTGCGGCACCGCTGCCCACACGGCCCCATATACCCCGGTTGGCAGCCCAGGAGCTGGGCACAGCCCTCGTGCCACCCGTTGGCAGCAAGAAAATACCATGGGGGGGTCTGGTGGCGCTGACCTGGTCCCCAAAGTGCCCGGGCAGCTTGCAGAGTCCGGCCTCGAGTGGGCTGTGCTGACACCGAGGGCTTTTGGGGACAGGTGCAGTGCTGAGGCAGGCAGGGAGCAGGGCCCCGGGTGGGTGCACAGCAGATTTTGGAGGCCACCAGCATGGCACAGGGGACAGGGGACACCTGGTAGAGGGGTGCCAGGGGCAGCGGTGTGCCGGCACTGCTGGGGAGGCTGCGTGGCAGGAGAGCCCTTGGCTGCATCCAGCGGTGAGGAGCCGCCGCGTGTGGCCGGAGGCTGCAGGCAGGGATTCCCCGAAGCGCACGTGATGCCTGGAGCCGCTCCTGGCACAAACTCCCGACAGGAGGGACGGTGCTGGGAATGCAGCTCGGCTCCCTGCCTGCTTCCCAGGCTGGAGCGGAGCCTAAAAGCCAGCCCCAACACTTGTCACATCCTTCCCCCTCCTCCTGTGCAGCTGGGAACTCCTGGCTCTCCCCGGCCAGCACCGAGCGCTGGGGCAGAGCTGGGACACGGGGCCCCTCTCCCCTCCGTGGGGCAGAGCTCCACGACCCCCTGGGGCCCCCAAACCTCCCCCCACGGGGCAACCCGGGCCAGCGGCAGCAGCTAGGGCTGCGCAAGGGGGCCGGGTGCCCACCAGCTGCCCCCTTCTCCCCCAGGGCTGCTCCTCCTCACGTCCTTCCTCCTGCACGTCAAAGAGGGCCGTGCCAGCCCGGCGCGGCTGGTGTGCGACGACAGGCTCATCTACAAGTACATCGAGGAGGCCAAGGACATGGAGAAGAAAGTGGTGAGGAGCCCCTCGCGCCCCAAAACCCGGTGCCAGGCAGGGCTGGGCACAGCTCTTGTCCCCAGACCGCAGCCCTGACGTCCTCTGCCCCGACAGAACCAGTGCCAAGCTCCCTCGGTGCTCAGCTGCCCCGTGACTCTGCCCCTGGTGGATGTCAAAATGACGCAGTGGAAAACCAAATCGGTGAGGAGGGCTGGGAGGATGGTCCTGGGGTGCCCGTGGGACTGGAGAAGGACCCCAGGGTAAGCACAGGGCACCGAAAACCCCGCACGAGGCTGCTTGGGGGAGGGAAGGGGGGGGCGCACCTGGTGGCAGGGGGGCGAGGGATGGAGAGCGGGGCCCCCAGCCCCCCCTGGCAGCAGGGTCAGCGCGCTCCCTCCCTGCCTGCTCCCCAGAACCAGAGCAAGCGGCGCGAGATCCTCTGCAACCTGATGCTGCTGCTGGGTGCTGTGAGGGGGGCGCAGAGCCAGGAGAGCCAGGAGTGCTGGGCCGGGCAGCTCAATCGGCTCTACCGCCACGCCGAGGCCTTCCTCATGCTGCTGAAGACCTGGGAGGTGAGAGCTCACCCCCCCGGCACTGGGGGGGCAGCAGGGGGCTGAGCACCGTGCTGTTTGTGACCCTTCTGTCCCCTTCCAGCCCCCCCAGGAAGAGCCGTGGGAGCCGGGCTGCTCCCCAGGCTCCGAGGAGCGGAACACGGCCGTCATCTTCCTCGCCTACCAGCGGCTGCTGCAGGGCAAGCTGCGCTTCTTCTTCTACGACCTGGCCAAGGATTTGTGCAACCAAGGCCAAGGGGGCGGCAGGGACCCCCCCCGCGGGGCCTGAACTGATGGGGGAGGGCAGAAAAACCCCGCAGGACGCCGAGCTGTGCTCCGGGTGCCCAGGAACGTGCCCCCCCAGGGGGTCAAACCCAGCCCTGGTTGCACGCACCTGGCTCCCACCGGACTGTGAACGCCTCGCGATTAAAGCCCTTATTTTTCTAAAGGGGCGTGCGCCTCCTCCTCTGCCCCTGCAGCCTCGCTGAGAGGAGGCTGCTGGGGACGCGCTGCGGCGTCTCCCTGTGCCCGGCTCCCTCCCGTGGCAGCCGCCAGCTCTGCAGGAGCGAGAGCAGCAGCACGGCGCCCTCTGGGGCCATCCCAGTGCTCCCCGTCACCCTCTGGAAGTGCTCGGGGTCCCTGTGCAGGCGCACCACCCGCTCCCCATCAGCCTCACAACTCAGCCAGCCCTAGAAAACGCGTGCTGGTTTAATCAAGAACGAGCCAGGCCCGTCACGGGATGGCTCCGAAATGACGGCCAGCCCCGATGCAGCCAGATCCCTGAGCACAGCCGGGGCTGAGCCCGCCTGGGACGCGCAGGAAGAGGGAGGTGAGAGGAAACCACCAGCAGGCAGGGCTGCGGGGTGCCCAGCGTGGTCTCTGCTCAGCATCAGGCGCCTCTCCCCGCGCAGGAGGGGACCACAAATCCCAGGAGGCATAAAAAAAAACAAAAAAACAACAAGGTGAGGAAGGAGAACACCTCCTCCTGCACCCACCCGGGAAGCACAGATACCGGGGCAGGATTTGGGGTGCTGGGGCTCCCGTTTTCTTGCTGGCAGAATGTCTCTGGGAAGCCTCGAGGCGCGGCCTCTCCTAGAAGGCCAGCTTCTTCATCAGCAGGTAGACGCGGGAATCCACCTCGAAGCCGTGCAGGTTGTTGGCGTCTCCCTGCAGCCGCATCAGCAGCCCCCCGTAGGAGGCGTAGGCAGAGCTGGGGCAGGAAGAGAGGAGAGGAGAGGTGAGAAGGGGATGGGAACCTGCAGGAGCTGCAGCCCCACACCCCGCTGCCTCCCCCCAAAAGCTCCGGGCACTCACAGGCGCGTGGCTGCCTCCATGGAGGTCTCGTCCCCCTCGATGCGGTACACCTTGCCGTACATCACGTACTCGAACTGGTCCGCCCTGCAGCGGGAGGGGGGGAGCTCAGAGCAGCGCCAAAACCCCAAATCCTCCTCCACGTATCCCCCAGGGGGACGCCCTCTCCTCCCTCAGCCCCCCAGCCCCGGTACCTGGAGGGCCGGTCGTCCGTGGGGTTGTACTCGCCGTCGTCCAGCGTGCCGTCCTCGTACAGGGTGCTGGCGATCACCAGGCGGAATTTGTCACCTGCAGGGACGGGTTTGGAGGCAGGGACCGCAATGAGTGCCCTGTGCCGTGATCCAAGGGGCAGGGGGGGGCGCACAGCCTGCGTCCCCCACCCTTCCCCGCATCCCAGGGGCACCCAGAGGGGCTGGGGAAGGGCTGGGGGTGCTGCTGCTGCTGGAAAGCTGCTTTTGGGGGATGTGGCGAGGGGTCTGGGGGCGCTGGCTGGGCTCTGGGCAGGGACTGGAGGCCCTGCAGCACCCAGATCTCCAGCACCTTGTTCACAGCGGGGGTGTGCTCACCCCACTTAGGGTTGCCCCCCCTCCCTATGCAATGCCACCCAACCTTTAGCGCCCCGCTCTTCCCCATATGGTGCCCCCACTCCCCCTGCAGTGCCGCCCCATAGTGTCCTTCCCCCCATATAGTGCCCCCAATGTCCTCCCCCCCATATAGTGTCCACCAGTGTCCCTCCCCACCCATATAGCGCCCCCCACATAGTGCCCCCCCAGTGTCTTTCCCCCCATATAGTGCCTCCCCATTGCCCTCCTTCCCCCCCTATATAGTGCCCCCCATATAATGCCCCCCAGTGTCCTCCCCCCCAACACAATGCCCCCCAGTGTCCTTCCCTCCCATATAGGGCCCCCCTCCACCCCATATAGCGCCCCCTCAGTATCCTTCCCCCCTATATAGTGCCCCCCATATAATACCCCCCCATTGCCCTCCTCCCTCCCCATACAGCACCCCCCCACCCCATCCGCTCCCCCAGCCCCCCCAACACCCAACACCCCCCCAATACCCCCCCCACCCCCCAACCCCCCCATTCCCCCCCCAGCCCCCCCGTACCGAGGTCCACGGGGTAGATCTGGATGTTGACGTCCAGGATCAGGTCCATCTTGAAGGACTCGCTCTCGCAGTGCAGCCGGGACACTGCGGGCACGGCGCGGTCACCACAGGCCCTGAGACCCCCCCGGGACCCCCCCCCCACCCCCTGGGCCCCCCCCTCCCGGTACCGGGACCCCTCCCCCCCGTGCTTTCCCGTGCCCCCCCCTGCCTCACCTCGGTCGAACTTCTTGCCCTCGGGGTCGATGTCCTTCACGTCGAAGATGTCCTCGAACAGGATCCCGGCCATGGCGCCGCGCTCCCGGGCCCGGTGCCCCCCCCCCTCCGCTCCCCTCACCGGTCCCGGCGGTAATGGCGGCTCTTCCGCTTCCGCCCACAGCCGGGCGGAAGTGGCTTCAGGGAGGGCAGGGTGAGCACTGCGCCTGCGCGGTGGTGGTGGGAGGGGGAGGGGGGAGGAGGGTGGCTGCGCGGTCCTAGTGCCCGCCCGGCTCGGGGAGATTGGGGCCTGAGGGGTGGGGGGGGGCTGGGGGGTTTGGGGGGGTCAGGGGGGTGTGGGGGGGAAGGGGGCTGAAATGGGGGGGTGCGATGGAGGGGGTGAAAGGGGGGAGTGTAATGGGGGGGTTGCAGGGAGGGCTGGAATAGGGGAGCTGTAATAGGGGGGGGTAAAGGGGGGGGATGGAATTGGGGAGGGGGGCTTCAGGGGGGCTTCAGGGGGGATCCAAGGGGGATCCAGTGAAGGGGCTGAAATGGGGGGGGCTGGAATGGGGGGGGTGCAATAGGGGAGGGTGAAGGGGGGGCTGGAATAGGGGGGGCTGGAATGGGGGGACTGAAATGGGGGGGGTCAGGGGGGTACAATGGGGGGGGCTGCAATAGGGGAGGGTGAAGGGGGGGGCTGTAATAGGGGGGTGTAATGGGGGAGGTGCAAGGGGGGGCTGAAATGGGGGGGGGGGATCCGGGGGCTGCAATGGGGAGGGTTGGAGGGGGGGCTGGAATGTGGGGGGCTCAATGGGGGGTGCAAAGGGGGGAGGTGAAACGGGGAGGGGGGCTCCGAGGGGCTGCAATGGGGGGGCTGAAATGGGGGGGTGCAATGGGGGGGGGGTGTAAAATGGGACTGAAATGGAGGGGGGGGCTCCGGGGGGTACAATGGGGGGGCTGCAATGGGGAGGGGGCTGCTGGGGGGGCTGTAACGGGGGGGGGGCGAGGGGGGCAGAGGGCAGGGGGGGCTGCAGGGGGGCTCTGGGGGGGGCTGCGGGGGGGGGAGGCTGCAATGGGCGGGCTGCAGGGGGGCTGCAGGAGGCGGGGGTGTTCCAGGGGGGACTTCGGGGGGGGGTTTCTGAGGTGGGAGATGCAATGGGGGGGTGCAGGGGGCTGCAGTGTGACTGCGGGGGGGGGGTCTCCGGGGGGGTGCCGGGGGGCTGGGGGGGCCGGCAGGGGGCGCTGCCCGCCCGCGGATGGCACCGCGCGGAGCTGGGGGGGGGCGCGGCGCCGCCCACGGGCACGGGGAGGGGGTCCCGGGGGGGGGTCCCGGCACCGGGCACGGCTCCTCCGGACCCCCCCAGACCCCCTCTGGACCCACGGGGGTCGGGGTCACGCGTGGGCACGCTGCTATGGGGCTGGGGGACACTGGGGGGGGGAACCCGGGGGGGCTGCGCCCCTCGGGTCGTGCGTGGGGAGGGCGCATGGGGGCTGCCCCCGCTCCCCCCACGGAGCCCCCTCCCCAAATTTAGCCCCCCCCGGGTGTCCCCAGGGGGCGTGGGTGGCCAGGAGGGTGACACGGGGACACGGAGCCGAGGCTGGGCACCCGTGGCGCCAGGGTGGGGGTGGAAGGGTGGCAGCACCCTCGGTGCCCCCCCCCCATGTGGCACCCGGGTGCCCGCCAGGTGCTTGGCGTCGCCGCCTTATCTGGGATCAAACAAAGCTCCCGCCACCCGGCGCCGTGCCCCACGCCACCAGCCCTCGCCTCCGTGCCACCCACGGGGTCCCCGTCCTGAGGACCCCCCCCAAAACCATCCCAGGGGGCTGCCCCTCGCCCCCCCGGGATGTGGGGTGGATGGGGACGGGCACACGGTGTGCGTGGGGACCCCCGCCTTGAGGCACCCCAAAAGATCCCAGTGTTCATATAGGGCCTGCTGGGGGTCCCTCTGGATGTCCCCACGGTTTGGGGGGGCCCAGCGGTGCCAGGCTCCCGGGGGGGTGCAGCCCCCTCCTCGCTGGCCACTGGGCTGTTATCTGCTGATAAACCACACGCTGCCGCCTTTGAACTTGTGGCCAGGCCTCCATCCGGGGCGGCCGTTTTGGGGCCAATTTGTAGGAAAACTCCACCGGGGACGGGGACACGGCTTGGGGGTGCTGGGGTGGGGGCCCTGGGTGTGCCAAATGGGGACAAAACGGGGACAGTGGGGACAAAACGGGGACAAAGGGGACCTGGGATGCCCCAAATTGGGCTCAGTATGGTGGGGCATCCCAAGGGGCTGGCTGGGGGGCCTGGATTGTTGTCCAAACCCCAAACCCCAAACCCCTGCTCTCCCCGGGCTGTGGGGTGGTGGCGGTGGTGCCCCCGCTCCCCCCCGGTGCTTCAGAGGCGGCGGCGGGCGCTGTTATCTGCGGGCACAAAGGAGCCGAAGCGGGGCCGTTACCGAGCAAACAAGCGTGGGGAGAGGCCGGGGGGGGCGGCTGTAGGGTGGCAGCTCCATGGGGAGTGGGGTGGCACCGACCCCGTCCCCATTCTGGGGCTGGCAGGGGGCCCCCCGTGTGCCACGCGTGTGCCGGGGTGCCTGACCCCATGGGGGTGTCCCCAAGGTCCCCATCCCCTACAGGGTGCCCCCCCCCTAGGGTTGGGGTCGGGCAGGAAGAGCCCGAGCCGAAATTAAGCTGTTAATGAGGCTGTCTGTCACCGGGCCCCCAATTAGCCATGCAGGTAACGAGGAGATGATGGAGGTGGTGGTGGTGGTGGTGGGAAGGGGGGGGGGGGGGGGCCAGGGTCTGCAGCACAGGGAGGCTGGGGGGGGGGGTCAGCATGTCGTGACAGATCCCCCCCTGTCACCACCCATCCTCTCCCCTCGTTAGCACCATATAATGAGGGGTGAGGGGCCCCCAGGTGGGGTTTAGCCCCCCAGGAGGGGATTAGCCCCTTCCCCTCCCTGCTGAGCCCGTGGATGGGTGACGGAAGAAACAAAAAAAATAAAATAAAAGAGGTTTTGGGAAAAAAAAAAAACAAGTGGCACAATGGGGAGGTGCCGAGCTGGCAGGTCTCTGCTCCCCCCATCTATGGGGCCTGGGGGGCCCTGTCCCCATCCCAAATTCCTGGGGCCGCTGCTGACGTCTGTTTTTCCACGACACCTCCTCCGGTGCCCGGCGGGGTGGGGGGGGGACAGGGCCATCTCCCCGCAGCTGTCATCGCTCCGGCCCGTCCCCGCGATGGCCCTTATCAGCACGACCCCGTCCCCTGCTCCCCCCGTGGGTGGCAAGGGGCCGCGGGGGTCCCCTCGCCCTGGTGGCACAGGGATGGGGACACCACGGGGGTGCTGGGGCTGCACCCACAGCCGTGGGGGGGTCCCTTCTTGCCCCAAATACCCCAGTTTTGCCCCCCCCCCACACAAGGCCCGTTGACCCAAAAGTGGCCGAGCCGGGCTGGGATTAGAGCCGGGGGATTTCGGAGGGCTCCGAATTAGCTTAATGGCTTTGGAAGACAAACAGATTAGAGATCGGGGCAGGGATCAGCTAAATTGGAAGCAGAAGCAGCAGCAGCGGCCGATCCCAATCCTGATCCCAATCCCTCCCCAGCGGCCCCACAGCACCCACGGGCCCCGTCTCCATCCCCATCCCTGTCCCTGTCCCCATCCCCGCGGTGCCCCCCTGGCTCCCGGTCCCCGCAGGCTCTCCCCTCCTGCCAGGGCGCAGCCAGCAGCACCGGAGGAGGAGGAGGAGGAGGAGGAGGAGGGGGCCGTGGTGAGGAAGGCCGGGTGTGGGGGACAGCCTCCTGCTGCCGCCGTGTCCCCCCCGGCACCCCCCGTCCCCCTCCCGCCACCGCTTCCTGCGCAGGCGGCCCGGGGCTGGCGATGAAAGCCGCCCCAGCAGATGTTTCTGGCTTGTTTTCATCTCATTAACCGTTTCCTCTTTTATTACGGGATAAATTATTAATTGTTCGGAGCGGGGGAAGAAAGAAAAGAGAAATCCTGACCGGGATCCCAGCGGGGAGGTGGCTACGGGCTGGCACAGCCTGGGGCACGGGGAGGGCAGCGGGCTCGGGGTCCCCGGGGTGGTGACAACCCCTGGAGGTCCCCCCCCCCAAAAAAAAAAACAAAACAGGGGGGGCTGCGAGCACCTGGCCTCCATCAGCAGCCACTGGAAGGAACCTGGGCAGACGGGGGGGGCACCCCCAGTGCTCCCAGCAGCCCCCCGTGGGGTCTCGCTGCGCCCGCCGGGGCGCTGGGAAGGGGCTCGGCCCCCGCCCCTGCCCCGTGAAATATTCATGGCCCGCACCGCCGAGTTAATTTAATTGCCCTGATGAGGAGCTGAATAATTTACGCTCCTCGCAAGCAGGTCGCGAGACATCATTAGCAGCAGGGGGGACGTGGCCGAGCCTGCACCCCGCTGCTCGGGGGCACCGGGTGCCCGCAGGGACCCCAAAAAGCCCCCAGCCTTGTGTGGTTGGGGCACCAAACCCCCGTACAGACCCCAGCACCGTTTTGGGGCTGCCCCATCCTGGCTGCAGCCTCGCTCCATCCCCATCACCTCGCTCCATCCCCATCCCCACGGTGCTGGTCCGCGGCCAGCGGCGATGTCTGGGATGAAATATGGCCAGGACATGGGGCCGGGGCCGTGCCGGCGCGCTCTGGATTCCTGAGATAGCGGGGACAGGGACCTTTTTTTACATTTTTTTCCCTCGAAATGCAGTCCTCTCTCGGGGGGCACCCCATGCGGCTGCGGCGACGCTAAGAGGGGCTGTTTGGGGAAGGATTTTGGGGGGGAGTTGTGCCCCCAAGCCCCAATGCTCACCACACACACACGCAAACAAGCAGAAGCAGGGCGCAAAGGGGGCAAAACCCCAAATCTCTTCCCCTCCACTGGGCAGGGAGAGGACTTTGGGGCCGGACCCCTCCCCTCCCCTCATCCCCAGCCCGGTGGGGCAGCAGGAAGCCGCATCTGCTGCCCGCTCGGTGGTGAAGGCAGAGCCCAGGACGGCACCGCCGTGATGGTCACGCCAGGAAATTTGGGGCCAGAGGCCGCGGCCGAGCCAGGGCTGCAGCCAGCGGCGCGATAACGCCCGCGTTTCCTCCCGGCGCTGCGGCGTCCGGCGGGGGGGGGGCGGCGGCCACCCCCCTGCAGCCCCCGTGCCCCGGGGATAAAGCAGAGCCCGTCCCCGTCCCCGTCCCCAC